CATGCACCCACGGCCAGAAGCCTGGGTTACAGCTACGTCCACACTCGCCTCTTGCACAAGAAATCTGCCAATGAGGCTAAGCATGGAATAGCACTCATTTGCATACCTAACGAGCCACCATTTCTGCAGCAGAAGGACATGCCTGTGCAATGCCGTGACGCCAATTATTTTCCCCAGGCATGTCAGCTGCCAGCTCTGCTAAGGGGCCACTGAATTCTGGTCTCAGCTCCATCACGTGCTGGTCTTTGGGGATGCTGTACCCAAGACAGGCCCATTTCAAATTCACTACGGCGGCCTCTGCATCCCCTCCTACCTAGCCCACCTGGTGCTTCCTGGCTTGGGGAGCATCAGTTGGAGCAGGGGGGTTAGTCGGTGTAGCTGGAGTGCCCAGCTTCCCACCTTTCTCCAGCTCAATGCGCCTCTGCTTTTCCCTCTCCTCCACTTCCAAACATTCGTCTGTCAGAAGAACCCCATCTGGCCTTTAGTGAGACGTCTGCCTACCTTAAGGATGCTCTCCCACCCAGAGACAGTTGTATGGGAGGGGATGGGCATGACCGCCACCCTCTACTCCTGCCCCCACCTACAAGGTTACTCACCCCATGTCTCACAGGGACAAGCTCCTGTCCCCCCCGCCTCACTGTATGACTCTTCACCAGAGGCGGACATCTCACCTCAGGGTGTTGCTTAAGGAAAGTTGATTACTCCTGGGCTACTCTGCCCTACTGCAAACGCATGCACGGGGCAGCTTCCTTGCTCTACTCTAGCCTTGCTATCCAGTTGCCCCAAAAGCTAGAAAACCCCAAAATAACTGTTCAGTTTTGACTCTGGCTGTGCGGGATTAGCCTTCTGTGTGGCCCTTTCCCCCTCAGGCAGCTAAAGGAAAAAAACAGAACCGCAAAACTTCCAACTGCTAAGCCATGGGTTCCCAAACTGGGGGGCATGAAGAAATTCCAGGGGGGGCATGAGGCGACCCAACCACACACACCCCCGTCAATCCCACCCCAAGTTTTGCTGCAATTTTTTGGGGAGAGGGGGCGTGAGGGTTTCTCAAAAACCAAAAAGGGGGCGTGATGCCGAAAAGTTTGGGAACCACTGTGCTAAACAGGAAAAAAAAAGTGTCATTTTAGTGAAAGCCTGAAGTCTGTGTCCCAGGCTCAAAATGATCCGAACAGCCCTGCCACCATGTCAGGGCTGTTTCCCACTCCAGCACTGAATGCAGAAGGGGAGGGCCTGCAAGAGACCTTACAAATATCTATAGGGTAACAGCTCTATAGAGTAACAGCTCAATAGGGTCACAGCCTCTATAGGGTCATAGATTCCCTGGTCTTGGGAGACAGGCTGCCACTCCCTATGTGAGGAAAAACCCTTTTCTTCTTGAACCCAGGAGGAAGCACTTGGAACTTCTTCCAGGGGGGTACCCCAAGTTCTACCACCACCAGAGAGCTTGGGAGGGGAAAAAAGTGTAAACAAAATGCAATCTCTGACAGCTGACCTCTCAGTCTGAGGCATGCACACACAGACGTCCTCTTACCTTCCAGGACACAGGAATCAAATCATCGCCTTAAAAAAAGTGATTTTATTAACCAAACAAAAAGATACACTTGATAAAGCAGACACGGTTGCTAGGTGTTTCAAAGTAACCACAAAAAGAACAAATTACAAACACAGAGGAATTCATCCCTGGAATTCAGCTTAAGGTGACAGTGTAGAGAGGGTGGAACATGGACTTAGCACAGAAAAATCAACAAAACACAGAAAACAACCGGATTGTGTCTAAATAGACATCTCCTACCTACTCACCTACCTGTGCTTCAAGGTCCAGTACATTTCCATGCTCTGCATTCTTTGCAGGCACGGCAGTTCTGCCTGGTTCCATTCATCTTGTTCCCTCTGCTCCCGGCTTAAAACTCACACAAAGAAAATGAGCAGGCAGGTATCCCTTCCCATTTAAATGCCAATAGTTCTCCTGGCTTCTTGCTCAAGACTCTCTAGCTCTTGCAGTCGTAGCAGTTGTACACAATGCTCCATCTATTTCTTCCCCGCACATTGGTAGAATGAGTTTTGTTAGGGGCTCAGGGTTGCAGAAAAGAGTTGGGGAGCAGGGGCATGAGGGCTGGTTCTGGGGCAGGGCCGGGGTTGAGGACCTTAGGGCTGAGATAGCGGTTTGAGGAGTAGGCCATTGAGAGTATGTCTAGACTACATGCCTCTGCCTCCAGAGGCATGTAAATTAGACATACTGACATAGTCAATGAAGCAGGGATTTAAATATTCCCCACTTCATTAGAATAAAAATGGCCACCGCGTTGTGCCAGCTCAGCTATTTGTTGGCACGAACCGGCAGGCAAAACGGGGATCGGTTGGCAAGGAAAGCCTTTGCCGACCGATCGCTTCTGCCTCATGCAACGAGGTTTACGGGATCGGACGTTAAAGGCTTTCCTTGCTGACTGATCCCCATCTTCACTGCCAGTTCGTGCTGACAAACAGCTGAGCCGACACAACGCAGCGGCCATTTTTTTTCTACATGAAGCAGGGAACATTTAAATCCCCACTTCATTGACTATGTCAGTATGTCTAATTTACATGCCTCTGGCAGTGTAGTCTAGACATACCCTGAGACACTATATTTGGGAGAGAAGCCTCCCATCAGATCTCTGCCCCAGCTCAAGTGTTGCTGTCCGGAGTGGGGGAGGGGGTACACACGTCTCCCTGCCATGGTAGCTGCGGGGCCAGGGCCATGGGATAGCCAACTGTCTACTGGGCATGACATGTCTGAGCCGGGGTTGAGACCACTGGGTAGAAGCATCTCTCCCCACCAAAGCCCTAAGACCTTGTGTGGCATTTCATAGGCTTCAGCAAAACAACATGGACACACAGCTTAAAGGGAACTCAGATCATAGTGCAGGGCTGGGCACAGGCACTAGATCCGGCCCACCTAACACTTTGATCCAGCCTGCGGACAGCATCCGGCTGCTTACTCGTTATATTCTGTTGCCGATGCTACGGAATTTCCAGGTGGTGACTCGGGCAGAGAATCCCACTGAAATAGCTGACGATCGCTGTCTGACCATGGCAGAGGCCAGAGCTGCGAGCATTTTCAAGATCCACAGCCAGGCAACACAGTAGCAGCAGAGCTGGGGGCCACAAACCTTTCACTGTGCGTTTAAAGCAAAGTTTCTGGCCCTAGATGACTATTGTGGGAGGCTAAACTCCAGCCCCACCCATTCTGGGGGGAGGGAGAGTAGAACTGGCCCATGGCCACATAGCAAAATTCCTTAAGTGGCCCCCTGCAAAAATTATTGCCCATATCTATTACAGGGATTCTTCCCTGTGTGGCTTGCCCTACGGCTAACAAGGTCTGAGCTCTGACTGTAGCTCTTCCCACAGCCAGAGAGGCTGAAAGATTTCTCCTGTGTGGGTTCTCCAGTGTCTAACAAGGGCTAAATGATGACAGATGCCTTTTGCATAGTTAGAGCAGAAGGGTTTTTCCTGTGTGGAATTTCCTTTGTGTAACCAGCTCTGAGCTCTCATAGAAGCTTTCTCGCAGTCAGAGCAGTTATGAGGCGTGTCTCTTGTATGTAGTATCTTGCAGCCAGTGAGCTCTGGCTGAAGCTTTTCCCACTGTCAGAGAAGCTGAAGTGTTTGTCCCATGTGGATTCTCTTGTGGGTAGCAAGGTGTGTACTCTGACTGAAGCTTTTCCCACAGTCAGAGCAGCTAAAGGGTCTTTCCCCTGTGTGGGTTCTCTTGTGCGTAACAAGGTTTGAACTATGACAGAAGCATTTCCCACAGTCAGAGCAGCTGAAGGGTTTTTCTCCTGTGTGCGTTCTTCTATGGCTGACAAGGTAGGAGCTCCGACTGAAGGTTTTCCCACACTCAGAGCAGCTGAAGGGTTTCTCCCCTGTGTGGATTCTGAAATGGATAACAAGGGTTGAGTTCTGACGGAAGCTTTTCCCACAGTCAGAGCAGCTGAAGGGTTTCTCCCCCGTGTGGGTTCGCTGGTGCGTAACAAAGGCTGAACTATAACGGAAGCATTTTCCACAGTCAGAGCAGCTGAAGGGTTTCTCTGTTGTGTGGGTTCTTTTATGACTGACAAGATACGCGCGCCGAATGAAGGTTTTCCCACACTCAGAGCAGCTGAAGGGTCTCTCCCCTGTGTGGATTCTACAATGAGTAACAAACTCTGATCTCGTATGGAATCCTTTCCCACAGTCAGAGCAATTATAAAGTTTCTCTCCTGTGTGGGTTCTCTTATGTGTAATAAGTTCTGAGCGAGAACTGTAGCTTTTCCCACAATCAGAGCAACTGAAAGGTCTCTCCCCTGTGTGTTTTCTCCTGTGGGCAACAAGGTTTGAATTCCAAATGAAGCTCTTCCCGCAATCAGAGCACATGAAAGGTTTTTCTCCTGTGTGGGTTTTCCTGTGTCTAACCGCGCCTGAACGATGATGGAAGCTTTTCCCACAATCAGAGCAGCTGAAAGGTTTCTCCCCACTGTGGATATTCCTGTGTGTAAGAAGGTCTGAGTTAGAACTGAAGCTTTTCCCACAATCAGAGCAGCAGAAGGGTTTCTCCCCCCTGTGAGTTCTGCTGTGGATAGCAAGGTTTGACCTCAAATAAAAGCTTTTCCCACAGTCAGAACAGCGGAAGGGTTTCTCCCCGGTGTGAATTCTCCTGTGGAGAGCAAGGTGTGATCTGCAAATGAAACTTTTCCCGCAAACAGAGCACTTGAAAGGTCTCTCCCCAGTGTGGGTTCTCTTATGGATAGTAAGGTGTGAGCTCCGACTGAAGGTTTTCCCGCACTCAGAGCAGCTGAAGGGTCTCTCCCCCGTGTGGGTTCCCCTGTGTCTCACAAAGGCTGACCGACGACGGAAGCTCTTCCCACAGCTGGAGCAGCTGAAAGGAAAATCCACGCAGGGGAGAAACGCATGCATAAGAAGCTCTGAGCGCTCACTGAAACTTTTCCCACAGTCAGAGCACCTTAAAGGTTTCCCTTCTGTGTGGGTTCTCCTGTGTCGAACAAGGTTTGAACTGTCACAGAAGCTTTTCCCACAGTCAGAACAGCTGAAGGGTTTCTCCCCGGTGTGGATTCTCCTGTGAGCAACAAGGTGTGACTTCCGACTGAATTTTTTCCCACAGTCAGAGCAGCTGAAGGGCTTCTCTCCTGTGTGGGTTCTCCTGTGTCTTACAAGCTCTGAACTCTGATGGAAGCTTTTCCCGCAGTCAGAGCAGCTGAAGCGTCTTGCTGCGTGGCTTCTCCTGTGGACAACAAGGTTTGACCTCTGACTGAAACATTTCCCACAGTCAGAGCAGCTGAAGGTCTCCTCTCCAGAGTGAGTACTTTCCTGTTTACTAAGGGTTGTACACTCACTGCAAGCACAGGGTGCATGTTGTTGGGGGACCTTCTGTTGAACCGTTTCTTTGTGTTTCACCGCTCTCCTCCGGTGACAGGATTTACCCTGTCCCTCCCTTGCATGGTTTCTCTGCTGCCGTTCTGGGCTACGCTGAGTCTCCCAGGTCTCTCCCTGATCAGGACTCTGGGAAACATGTACTTCAGGTATTCCCAGTAACATCACACATGAAGCCACATGCTCCAGT